CAGATAAAAGGTAGGTTGGTGAATGGCTAAAAAGGAGAGAATGAGGCAGGGAGAGGATATCAGTATTGCCCAGGGAAAGGCAAAAGGTTAGGAAATTCCTATAAATTTTTTTTTGGGGGGGGAGCCTGGGAGAGGTTTGAGGAGAGGAGGTACCTCAGAGGGTTATAATACCATAGATGCCACACTCCAAAGCATCCATTTCCTCCATGGGAACTAGGTTTGTCAACCTCCAGGTGAGGGATGGAGATCACCCAGAAGTACGACTGCTTTCCAGATGACAGAGATCAGTTCCCCTGGAAAAATGGCTGCTTTGGAGGGCGGACTCTGTGGCACTGTACCCCATTGAAGTCTCTGTCCTCCTAAGGTACCACTCCCAAATCTCCAGGGACTTCCCAATCATGATCCCTAAGGGGAACTGATCTCTTTAGTAGGGGGATCTGTTGTGATTGCAGGAGATCTCCAGGATCTGTTGTGATTCTGGTTTGGCAACCCTAGAAGGAGAGAAGGAAGCAGGAAAAGGGGAGAGGCTATGAGGGCTTTCAGGAAAGAGGAAATAGTGGGAGAGGAGGAAGTGAGATGCCTCTCGCAAGTCCTTACATGCTCCCACTTGTTATATTCTAACACAGCAGATCATCTTCCATAAAAATCTTCATTTTGCTTAATTATTTCACCCATTCAGAAAAAATAAATATTTCATATGAGTTCTTTCAGAGCTTCCCATTGGAAAAATTGGAAAAAAATCCCCCCCTTTCAGAACTCTGTTCCAAACTACAGCTGATTACTGGTTTGGAAGACAAGTAGAACATGCCAGAGTTTCCAATTTAAATTTTACAACAAACTACAGTTTACAATAGAAGCATTTCATTTCCTTGCTGTGTGTGATGAGAAGAACCACATTAATCATAGGATTCCTTAGGCTCATTCCAAAAATTACATAAATCCAACCACTGACAATGCACACACATGCACATACATACACTAAAGCAAAAGCCTAGATTCTTAGTTTTAGGCATTTGGAAGGAATTAAGGCTGGAACTAAAAATAAATAAAACTAAAATAAATGCTATGGGTGGAAATAGTGTGCCCAAAGGGACGCTTAACTCTGGGAGTTTGTTATTGCCCATCAGATCAAAGGTTAGAGGATGATTTAAAAATAGCAAAACAATTAAGGAAAGCAGCTAGACGAAATAATTGTGTCATAATTGTTTGGGTCAATATGTGTTCAAGTCAGAAGAAAGAGATTGGGTTTCTAGATACTCTCAATGACTGTGCCATGGAGCAGATGATCACACAACCTACCAGGCAGGAGGCGATCCTGGACTTGGTCCTAAGTAATGCTCAAGACCTGGTGAGAGATGTAAATGTGATAGCACTGATTGGGAACAGTGACCATAATGCTATTAAGTTCAACATTTATGTAAATAGGGAGTTGCCCAAAAAGACCAACACGACCACATTTTACTTTAGAAGGGGTAACTTCTCTCAAATGAGGGGGCTTGTGAAGAAGAAACTGAAAGGAAAAGTAAGGAGGGTCAAATCTCTTTGGGAAGCTTGGAGACTGTTTAAAACTATGATCCTAGAAGCTCAGATAAAATGTATTCCGCAGGTTAGGAAAGGTACAAATAGGTGTAAAAAAAGGCCTGCATGGTTAACGACCAAAGTAACAGAAGCAGTAAAGGGTAAGAAAGATTCCTTTAAGTGGTGGAAGGCTAGTCCGAGTGAGGTAAATAAAAGGGAACACAGATTGTGGCAAATAAATGCAAGTCGGTGATCAGACAGGCAAAAAAGGACTATGAGGAACATATTGCAAAAAACATCAAGACCAACAATAAAAATTTCTTCAAATATATTAGTGGCAGAAAACCAACCAGGGTGGCAGTGGGGCCCGTGGATGACCAAGGGGTAAAAGGGTTACTAAAGGATGATAAGGAAATGGCAGAGAAGCTGAATGCATTTTTTGCCTCTGTCTTCACTGTGGAAGACGGGAGGTGCTTGCCCATTCCAGAACCGCTGATTTTGGGAGGGGTGTCAGGTGACGAGTTCAGAGGTCCTACAACTGATGGACAACTTAAAAACTGACAAATCACCAGGCCCTGATGGGGTACATTCAAGAGTTCTGAAAGAACTCAAATGTGAACTTGTGGATCTCCTGATAAAAATATGTAATCTTTCATTAAAATTTGCCTCCATTCCTGAAGACTGGAAGGGTAGCTAATGTCACCCCCATCTTTAAAAAAGGTTCCAGAGGAGATCCAGAAAATTATAGGCTGGTCAGTCTAACTTTGATACCGGGTAAGCTGGTGGAATCTGTTATTATAGAATCAGTAGGGACATTGATGAACAAAAGCTACTGAGGAAGAATCAGCATGAATTCTGTCAGGGAAGATCTTGTCTCACTAACCTGTTAAGAGTTCTCTGAGGGGGTGAACAAACATGAGGACAAGGGTGACTCAATAGATGTTGTTTACCTAGACTTCCAGAAAGCTTTTGATAAAGTTCCTCATCAAAGGATCCTAAGGAAATTCAGTAGTCATGGAATAAGGGGGCAAGTCCTCTTGCGAATTAAAAACTGGTTAAGTAACAAGAAACAGAGAGTATAAATGAGCAATTTTCACAGTGGAGGGTGGTAAGCAGTGGGGTACTGCATGTCTCAGTACTGGATCCAGTGCTTTTCAACTTGTTCATTAATTATTTGGAGTTGGGAGTAAGCAGTGAAGTGGCTAAGTTTGTGGATGACACTAAGTTATTCAGGGTGGTGAAAACTAGGGAGGGCTGCGAGGCACTCCAGAGGGATCTGGCGAGGCTGGGCAAATGGATGGCAACGTGGCAAGCAATGTTCCCTCTAAGCTGAGTTAGTGTGAGCTAACTCACAGTTTTTTAGCCTCCAGCTCACATATTTTCGTCTTTGCTCAGGAAGGATGGCTCCAGAGCAGACTCATTTATGCAGTAGCCAAACTGCTCGCTCAGAACTTTAATGCCAGTAGCTCACAAAGTAGAATATTTGCTAACACAGGGCTCCACAGCTTAGAGGGAACATTGGTGGCAAGTGAGGTTTAACGTGGGCAAGTGCAAAGTAATGCACACTGGAGCCAAAAATCCTAACTATAAATACACATTGATGTGGTCCGAACTGACGGAGACTCACCAGGAGAGAGATCTTGGAGTCATAGTAGATAACTCACTGGAAATGTTGACCCAGTGTGTGACTACAATAAAAAAGGCCAATGCTATGCTGGGAATTATTAGGAAGGGACTTGAAAACAAATCAGCCTGCATCATACTGCCCCTGTATAAATTGATAGTACAGCCTCACTAGGAATACTGCGTGCAGTTCTGGTCACTGCACCTCAAAAAAGATACAGCCAGGGCTATTGTTGGGTAGGAACGCACAGGAACGGAGTTCCGGCTGGCTTCAGAGTTGGCCACGCCCACTACAGCCAAAACCTCTGTGTGCGTGGCTGCAGAGGGAAAGCCTGGAGAGCAACACCCCCCGTGACTCTGAGGCGGGCAGGCCGGGGGGGGCCTGGAAGGATCAGGGCGCCCGGGCAAGCCAAGGGAAGGCATGGGGGGGTGTCCTAATATGCTAATGAGCTGCACTGTCATGGGTGTGGTGTAATAGGCTGATGAGTTTCTGATGTTGGGTGTGGCCTGTTATGCTAATGAGTTCCTGCTGGGCTTTTTCTACAAAAAAAGCCCTGGATACAGCATTGGGAAAAGTGCAGAAAAACGATTAAAGGGATGGAAGAAAGGTTAAAGAGGTTAGGGCTCTTTAGCTTGGAGAAACAATGACTATGGGGTGACATGATAGAGGTTTACAAATTTACGTATGGGATAGAGAAGTTAGAGAAGGAAGTACTTTTCTCTCTTTCTCATAATACATGAACTCATGGGCACTCAATGAGATTAATGAGCAGTAGGTTTAAAACAGATAAAAGGCAGCACTTATTCACCAAAAAAGTAATTAACACATGGAATTCACTGCCACAGGAAGTTGTGGTGGCTTCAAGCATAGACAGCTTCAAAAGGGAATTAGATAAACATATGGAGCAGAGGTCCATCAGTGGCTATTAGCCATAAGGTATAGATGGAACACTACATCTGGGGCAGTGATGCACTGTATTCTTGGTGCTTGGGGGGCAACAGTGGGGGGGCTGCTGGAGTCTGGTCCTGCTGGTGGACCTCCTGATGGCACCTGGTTTTAGGTCACTGTGTGACACAGACTGTTGGATTAGATAGGCCACTGGCCTGATCCAACATGGCTTCTCTTATGTTCTTATGTCATTATTCAGTTAGTCTCCCTGTTCATCACTCTACTGATCACTACTCATAGTGGGGGAAACTGCTACATAATGAAGTTAAATCATCTATTTTCAGATGTTATTTGTGAGGAGATGGCACAAGGCTCTACTGTAACTTCCAACTGCAGCAGCTGAAGGGTGCAGATACTGCTTAAAAATGTAACTTCAACTTCTAACTACTCCAAAGTACACTCATATTTTCAGAAAGATTTATACTAATTGTAAACTTTGACTTTAGTTGATACTTACCTTGTTTCTAGTTATTGTTGTAATATATTTGTTACTCTTTATGCTTTGTATTACAGTGTCTTAAATGAAATTCATGCTTACTATATCATATGTATAACATCTTCAACTTCAATAAAAATTTTGAATTAAAAAAAATGTAAATTATTGCTCTCAATAATTTCTTGCTATGTGTCCAGTCTTTCTTTAACATGCTTTTATAAGCTGGTGTTTTGTGGTGGCTAGAGTGTCCAACTAGAACTGGTAAGTCTTAGGTTCCATATCTGAAACATTGCAAAAGTTCCCACACAGGTCTGTCACTCTCTCTCTCAACCTAACTTGCTTCACAGAACTGCTGTGAAGATAAAATTAGGGAGCACTGTGTCCAAGTGCACTGAGGTCTATGCAGAAAAGGTAAAATAAAAACATATGATAGCCTATTTTTGTAAAAAACCATGTATTTCCATAATCGCTTACCTGCCTCAGTAGTTTCTGTATGGCTGACATCACCATGAGGCCTCTCCAGACAATAGGTGCAGTTTCTTCTACCAAGAAACCCATAGACATACTAGAAGGGGTAAAGCAAATATAAATTTTCCCAATTCCCCAACATGACAGAATTAGTAAACAAAGTAAACATGTACAATAGATCAGTTTGCTTACCATGCAATTCCATAGTTGACAAGAGGTCTCATTAAGTTCTCTACAATGGAAATATTAAAAATAACAGTTATTTCATATTAATATATATTTAAGCTACCTACGCTGCATGTGATGATGCTTAGATATTCAAGCCAGCTATAAGAAGAGCATACATTCTTTTCAAAATGCTTCAATGATTCTACTGCAAAGCCGAAGTCCAATGCAGACATAATGTCTAATCATGGTTAATTAACCAGAGCAAATAAACCATGGTTGAGATTTCAAATGTACAGTGAAACCACTGTTTACCTTGTGGGGATGAGTCCCTGGAGGTACCAGGAAGACCTGCTTGCCAGCTTCAAGCAGGGCAGCTAGACAGGGGAAAAAATTACGTTGATCATAGTTTGCTGGATGATCAATCAAAATGACAATTGAATTCAGTAATGGTAAGCTGTGTAGTTTATACTGGCTCTTTGTGGATCTCTTGCTCTGAACTTTGATGTAGTTTGGCTCTCTTAATTGTAAAAGGTCACTGATGCCTTAACAGTTCCCTCCTTGAGAAATCTTGCACTCCTAGCATACTATACCAAGTAGCCTGCGTTAGAGGACTGAGACTGCCAGCATGTTTACATGAATTGTCAGAACAAAAGTCATGGCATAAAACACTGTTCTCCCGCTCCAGGGAGAGATCATACCAATATTTTTCATATGGTACTTTTTGCTCAACACTAGACAAACATGAAGTGAAAAGAACCTTATCTCACAGTACTATATCCCTTTTCTTTTGTACATCAGAGTTTTCATCAATACTGGACAATTTTATCATTTCTGAGTAAGTCAAACACAAACTGCAATTTACAAAACAGTCTTCTTTATGTGTTTAAAAGGTTTAAACCAAGTCTCCAAACCAATGCCATCCATGTATTTGTTCAACAGTCCCTTAGGCTTTAGTGAGGTTTGTCAATGCAGTACAGTCCTACAGACAAAATATCATTATCTCTAATGGCTTGATTTTTGCTTTTGCTGCAATCAGTACGATAAAACATGCACATAGAACATTTAAAGAACATCTGCAGGGTTCTATTAAAAGGAGACTGTATACAGTTAATGCACATCTGACCTCTGCACTTCCCAACTGATTTAGTTTATAAGTGTCTTTGGCTTGTTCCCAACCTGTACACTGTGGGCAGAGTCAATGGTGAGATCACTACTAGTTGTGCTATGTGCACAACAGGAGTCAGGTTTTTCATTCAACGTTATCAGATACATTCAGGCAAAGGAGTAGTGACTGGCTACGTAAAGCATGGTTAGCTATTTTGAAGAGATGCCATGGCTGAATTCCACACCATCTTCCTCAAACTGCACCACCCCAAAGTCTTTGTCCATGATTCAAAGATACAGGAGGAAAAGAATAATAATATGCAGAAGGAAAACAACAGTAATATGTGGCTGACACTTGGAAGTTTGTACTTTAACAGTTCCCATGGCTGAAGAGACTAGCCACTGTTCAATTTTTGCTTGTCTTTTTTGCAATATTAACTGTTAAACTCCTACCAATCTAGCAGTTCAAAAGCAAGAAATTACAAGTAGATAAATAGGCACCACTTCGGTGGGAAGGTAACAGCGTTCCGTGAGCCTTGGTGTTTAGTCATGCCGGCCACATGACCACGGAAACGTCTTTGGACAGCGCTGGCTCTTCAGCTTTGAAACGGACATGAGCGCCGCAACTCTAGAGTCAGATTCGACTGGCTTTCGAGCAAGGGAACCTTTACCTTTAACTGTTAAACATTTTTAAAGCTTTGTCAGAACAGCCAGTTCTTTCTTATAAGTGTAAATAACCTTTTGCACTGTTATTGTAACGCCATTAAATAGCCAAACATCATACATTGGTTTTGGATACTAAGGCGTCATTCAACTGGTGCAACAACCAGTCCTAGGACAGAATGGTTTTCTATCTATGAAGCAAGGGATGGCTTGTCCCAGATTGCTTCCCATACTAGTCTTCCTGATCTACTGACACACAGCACAATGGAGAGAGTGGCCCAGAAGACTGCAGTGAGAAGGAGGCAAAGAGGCTGTCTCCATCTACAATGGCTTTGCTTGCACTGCTTAAGATCCAAGCCATTGTAACAACTGTAGGTTTAAGAAGTAGGCTGGAAATGGTGACTGCAGTTCTCAATAGTTCATGATTACAACTATTAATTTCTCGATTCTAAAATTACATTTCAGCATACAGGTACTGAGCAGCTACTCTCCCACACACACTTAAAAATAAGACTGCAGCAGTTAAGTAGTTGTTCCAAGCTCACACAGAAGCTAAGGAATCCATGGCATCATGAACACAAGTGTTTTGTAGAACTGAAATGTTAGTTCAGATTTATCACCACTCAAATCATTATTATACACCTCCTCACTTCTTCACGATGTCTCATCAGGAAAGGCACAAAAGACTCTTGCTGCCAAAGTGAATGGTATCATTTGCCATAATACCCATCAAAGGGGAGTATTGTAACATATATTCTTATTACATGAAAGATGCAGATATTGTAAGGGGAATTTAGGTAACATAGGTTTAAGTCATTTAGGTAACATAATGTAGGCAGAAGAAGAAACCTACCCTCTGCCTTTTTTTAATCAAATGTGTAATCAGGTGTGATTTCTGCTGAAGGGCAAAAGATTCTCAACTATAAACAATTAGAATTTAAATAACAGCATACATGTAAATCATGGCAAACACAGTATTTTCTTACATTAGTTTATGAAAGAGCATGAAACATGTACTGCCTGCTGATTACCTTACTCATAAAGAATTGTTACTAATGTGCCGAGGGAAACATAGTCACAGATATATTTACTATATTTATATCCCATCCTTCTACAAATACTTGAGGGCATACAAATTTTAAAAGACTGAAAAACAACGTGGTACAGATTTCTACAGAATAACATGTTCAGCTCTGTGTCTCAACCTGAGGTATCTGATGAATCCATTATACTGGAGAAAACAACCAACCAACTAAGCAAGTAGGTGAATTAACTCACAGTAACGGAGAACTGAACCAACTACCTATTGTTCAAGCATAATTTCATCTGCCTTTATCCTCCACCACTTTTAAATTGCTAGCCTATAGGGGGAATTCCCTGACCTGGATGGCCACCTGATCTCATCAGATCTTGGAAAATAAGCAAGGTCGGCCCTGGTTACTTGGATGGGAGCAGGCATTGGGAAACAACCTCTGCCTTTAAAACCCTGCAGGGCTGACTGTAGCTTTCTGGCACTTCCCACCATGAAAAAAAAATAACTAAAAGCACTGCTGAATTCCAATGCACAGTCTTTTCCTTGTCCATATGATCATTAAAAAATTTCTATCTGCTTGTACATCATTTTTTTTTAATGTATAAAGGTTTTATTGACTCTCCTAAAAAGGAGAGGTATTTCGCTTAAAATAGAAAAATTGGGAGGGTATATAGTGGGAGAAAGAGAAAGCTGATATATTAACTGGTAAATTAAACTGTTAGTACTGTCCAATCATTCTTCTTAGGCTTCTTCTGTGAGCAGTCAAACTTCTTTTTTCAGTCCGGTTATAGGTATTATCTATGTTAGTATGTTAGTAATGTTCCTTTGAATTTCTGTTAAAAAGCTTCTTCCGGGCGCCTTCAGAACCGCTTCTATGCGTGCTGGTTTCTTTTTCACTCCCGTTGACGTGGAGGAGCTTCGTCTGTTTTCTTCTCCTTCCGGCTTTTTTTCCCCATCCTCCTTCGGGTCGCTATTAACATTTTCAGTTCGTATGCTATAAATCCTCTTTCTTTCTTGCCATTTCAGGAGAGTTCCAGCTTTGAGAATGGTATTTTAATTCGATTTCGCTTTTATACGCTCCCAATCTTTCCGCTGAAACCTCCTCCGCAACTGTTGACTTTTAAAAGCGCTTGCCAGGCACCTTCTCGCTGTCACAGTTCAACTTTTCTCCTTTCACAATTCCCCGTCAGATTCACAGCAATAAACAGTCCAGGCAGTAAGCAGCCGGCTCTCACCCATAAGCAAACGCCCAGATCGGAAGTTCCTCCCTTCTTCTCCGCTTGTCTTTACCCAGCTGCAACATCTTGTCTTTTTGTTTACTTTTAATAAAGTTCTTAAAGCGCGTTCCAGAGAAACAAAACTTTTTCATGCTTCATTTCAAATACATCAAAGGAAATCACTACTATTCGCTCAGTCCATTCCCCCCCCTCCTTTACTTTCTCGTTTATGAAGTTAGAGGATCAGCCTCCTCGTCTTTTTCGCTGGGGGGGGGAAGCGCTTTTAGTTCTTTTTCTCTGCATTTTGACAACTCACAGTTAAGCCGATCTTTTCTTTTTCCATTTTTTCGGATGGTCGCTTTATCACTCGGTGACGTCTGGTGGCTCCGCTAAACCCCGTAAAACGGGGTCGCTCACGCAGCAAGGTCCATTGGGGCAGGGCATGGCGGGAGCCTCGGTCTCCAACCTCTCGGCCGAAAGAGAGACTCCCCCCTAGTACGCCCTAAAGCGCCCCGGATCCGAGCTCCTCTCTTCCTGAGGTGCTCGTTCAGGTCTCCGCTTGCGCGGATTCTCTCCTCCACCGCGGGCGGGCGAGACGCCCTCGGGAGCGACCCGAGGATGCGTCCGCCATTCGCGGGAGCAAAACCGGAAGCCTGCTTGTACATCATTTTGTGCAGGAACACCTCTAGTCAATCCATGTCTTCTTGCAGCCCACCAGAAGATCCCTTCAGGTACACAGCAAAAAATCCTCAGGGTGCTTCAACGTTTTTGGCAAACCAGCCTATTTCTTATAATGCATGAAATGCAAATAATGGATGTGACTTGTAGTACCTTTTGGCTATGCTCCTGCAGAGTGCAGAGGGTTGGACTAGATGACCGGCAAGGTCCCTTCCAACTCTAACATTCTATGATTCTATACCTAGATGTTAGCTATCCAACAGCTCAAATATATCAAATATACCAGAAATCTCAATTTATATTGCAAATTAATGGTGATCTTGCAAAGCTTGTAGAAAAGCAGTGCTGTCTTCAATCTAGCAAGTTCAG